ATTCCAAGCATTTTAAACAGTTTTTGAACATTTTAAGACACTTTAAAAATAGCGAAAACGGACATCGCTAAGCGAAACAGGGGGACCCAAACTGTCATTGCTATACGAGGCATGGTCCCGAACATTGCTATGCGAAATTTCCCCCATTGGAAACATCGCTAAACGGAGCGCAAGATTGCTCCTAAAACCTCATCGCTAAGCGAATACATCATTAAACGAGGCAATCGCTAAGCAAGGCATCACTGTATCTTCTTTCCTACGGGAACAATATTGTGTAACAATATCGGGCCATTTCCTGATGTTTTGAATTGTGGGTACAGAAGCACAATATTCCACATTCATAAACTAGAGGTTGTTTTTAAAAATTGAAACCTGTTTTTTTCCATCTTCATTGTCCTACATCCAATAACGCAGCAGCTTTATCCTATCTATATACTTGTATGACAAAGGCACTCTATGTGATTAGTGCAAAAAATGCAAATTGTGTTGCACAAATCAAATGCATATAAATATTTATACTGCGAGATGAACTGCAAGATGCACCCTCATTCTCTATATGCAGAACTTCGTACTTACAATGTGCTAGTGGGGCTATGCATGAACTGCACTGGTTAATATACTTCATAAATGAGTTTGCAAAGATAACAAGCACCTGATTGAACCATCCCCTCTCAATCACCACAGCAAGAACCTGTGCAAATCTGTGAATGTAGAGAAGCTGTTTCTACATGTACAAGGTTTTAAATACCATATAATTTATTTATTATTTATTTATTTATTTATTTTATATCCCGCCTATCTAGTCGATTAAGACCACTCTAGGCGTCTTACAAAAAACATACAACAATATATATATTAAAACAGTTTTACATAGAGAGAAAACTTTCAACAAGGAAGACAGAGAATAGGGAGAGGAAAAAGGGAGGTCAGGAATTAACTGAGGGGAAGGCCTGCTGAAACATCAATGTTTTTAGTTGATTTTTGAAAGTACCCAGTGAGGGAGCCGCACGGATATCAGGAGGTAGATTATTCCAGAGGCAAGAAGGCCCGATTTCTTGTCTTTTCCTTCCGGGCCTCCCTCGGCGTTAGGCTCCTCAGCCTCACCTCCTGGCTCACGCGAGTGACACAGGTAGATCTTGGTGGGAGTAGGCGTTCCGCCAAGTATCGAGGCCCTAAACCGTTTAGGGCTATATGGAGCAAGAAGGTTGCAGAACAGAATGGTTCCTACAGGCAAATGGCTATCAAACCCAGAAAACAACACTGAACTGAAGAAGAAAAACAGCCACCCACAAATAAAGTATTTCTGCCATACATCAGAGAGGTCACATGGGGAAACTTTTGAAAAAAACACAACCTACAAACAGTATTCAGGCCCACCACAAAAATACAACAAATGTTACGGTCAGCAAAGAACAAAAGAGACCCCCTCACCACTGCAGGAGTATATTGGATACCTTGCAGTTGCGGCCAGGTATATATTGGGACCACAAAATGCAGCATCCACTCCAGAATCAAAGAACATGAAAGACACTGCAACCTAAAACAACCCAAAAATCGGCAGTAGCTGAACATGCCCTGAAAGAAGCTGGACATGAAATCCTATTTCAAAAGACAGAAGTACTGGACAACACCAGCAATCATTATGTTAGATTACACAGGGAAACCATTGAAATCTACAAACATCAGCAAAGCTTCAACAAAAAAGAAGAAAGTCTAAAAATCAACAAAGCCTGGCTCCCAGCACTGAAAAATAGAGCCTGCAAAAAGGTCAATGAACTCTACCCAGCCACAAGGACCGGTGATCACTGCACACAAAAGAATAGCTAACAACACCTATCAATCACAGTAACAGATCATCTCGCCCCCTTATCACAATATACCTGTAACAAAAAAACACCCTGATCACCATAATCACCCAATCTCCTGAAAAGGACAAAAAGCTGATCCCCCAGCTACAAATACTCAACTATCCCACACACTACATCAGAACACAGAGTTCTAACTCCTGTCCTCTGAAGATGCCGGCCACAGACACTGGTGAAACTTTAGGAAGAAAAGCCTCCAGAACATGGCCAAACAGCCTGAAAAACCTACAACAACCATCAGATTCCAGCCATGAAAGCGATGATTTGTGGATAAATTTAGAGTATTCAAATGACAAGAGTCAATGTTTGCCTACTGCTCACCTTCCGGTACAGAGTGCTGATCTTCTGGTCAAAAACTCTCTTTTCTTCTACAGCAACTTCTAGCAGTGGTTTGTCTTCTGAACTGGTTAGATCTAAGATCAGATTGCAAAAGTAAACCTTAAGCAGACTTATGTGGCTAAAAGAGAATCACCTATCAACTATCTTGTTACATTTCACTTTTTTCCTTTTTCTGGGAACAATTTTCATACATATGTTCCTATATTACTCTTCCCCATCCAAAGCGATTTTAAAATATTACTAGAAAATCCTGTAAATTGCTGCTGATTCTAGCATTATGAAGTAGATCAGTGAATTTTAAATACACCCCCAAAATGCATATATTGTATTTCTAAATTGCAGACAATGCTTTAGAGGTACAAGGACAGGCCTAAAAACATATCTGAGATGCTTGACAAAGGACATATATGCTCATTCTAATAGAAAGAATTGAGCCAAAGGAATTAGGAAGATCTTCAAAAGGATCAGACACAACTTACTTTCACACAGGTCTAACAAATCCTGCATTTCTTTTTCTGTCTCTTGTATTTCTTTATATATCAGGGCAAGTTGGGACAGTTCAGCATATCTCTTACTAAGATCCTTTCTTTTGTATTCATTCATTGAGTAGTCATTCAGTAACAGACCGATCGTTTGATATTCTTGGGTTAAAGTCTGTAAATACTTCTGCAGAGTTTCATGGTTCCACAGTGTTCCTGAGGTCTGGTTATATCTCCTCAATACTGCAATAGGTGCCACTCTATTCCACAGACAGCTGTGCTGAGAGATATTCCATTCCGCCAAATGGGTAGATCTCTTAGCGAGAAAAGAGAGACAGCACCGCTGCTGACACCAGAAATATTGAACAAATGTTCGAAAAACAGGAATCCTTGGGAGAGGTTTCATTTCAGTTTGAGTAATCTGGAATATATAAAAACAAATTAACAGCACAGAGTTCCCCACTGACTTTTATTTTCATATATCTATTTAAAATTCATGTCTTGCTTTGCATTATTGTGGTTTTTTAAAAAATTAATTATATCTGTAGCTCATTCTGTAATCTTAAACCTCAATGACGACTCCAACATCTCTATGAAATAAACCATGGTATAAAAATCACTTTATAACAGTATTTGATTCTCCCCATATTTTACAACTAGTACACAATTATCTGTTGTACTTTTTAATTGCATTTTTTATATTTTAGCCACACAATATGTTTTATGAATTGGTTGTACATTTTTAAATTGAATGTTGTATATTTTAGCCACATAATATGTTTTTGAAACTGGTTGAACATTTTTAAATTGCATTTTGTATATTTTAGCCATAAATATGTTTTATGAGCTGGTCACTTGACCGTAATAAATTCATTCATTCATTCAAAGTAGGAACCTGTGAGTTGGTTCGAGTTTGTGTCCCCCAGCTACGAACTCTTTTCCCTGTTTCAAGAATGAGTTTGGTGGTGAACTTATAAAATCTTTATTCAACATCAACGAACGTCTATCAACAATAACTTTTGTAGGACAAACATGGTCTTCCAGCTTCAGCAGATATACCCACTTCGGCTTTTTTCTCTCTCCTAACACCATGGGCTCCCGCCAAATCTCTCCCGATCAGTGGACTTGCATAGGGCCATATCGCAGCTAGCACACAAAGGTCGACACAGGGATGGCGAGCTCATCCCCCCTTCCTCAAGGGACCCCCTTTCTTGGAATATACTGCAACAGTCCATTCTATCCCTTTGGAGTCTGATAGTTGGACTTTAATCCCTTCCCTCTCCCTCTTCTGCTGTTCATGTCTCTCTCTTCCCCCCAATAAGAAGGCTTTGGGGCTAGTTTATATCTTCTCTTAATCTCATCAATGGCAGTTTCCTCGAGACAATCTCTTTAGTCCAGGGGTCTTTTAGATCGATCACCCCCACCATCCTATTTGGAATTCCTCCTTTCTTTCTACTCTTTCCTGTTTCTCTGCTTTTTCTACCTCTTCTCCCCAATCTATCCCTTCTCTTATTTCTTCCTCCACTATGATGTCTCATTCTTCCTCTTCTGTCATAAAGAAACCCTCCATGATTGGTTCTTTCCCATCCTCCCCAGGTTTCTTGCCTAGACCGACTCCTCCTATCTGGGGTCCTAGCTTTTCCCCACCTTTATTTCCTGCCTGTGCTGTTTGCAGCCCTTCTGTATGGAGCAAGAGGCTGTACGTGGTCTCAACCCCCCTCTTCAGTATCCCGTTGTGGAGATGGCACACTCTTAAGAGTCAGTAGATTCTGACTCCACTTCCTCAGAGAACCTGAACTGCAGTATAAAGATGGTAATGTGTTGGAACATTCTTAGTGTTTTGCATCCATAAAAATGGGAATGTAGAGAGAAGAGTAGATTGGTTACAATGTGGTAATTTTAACCAAAACAATCCATTGTAGATAATATAAATAATTTTCTGTGTTCTAATACCATGTCTTGTCCAGACATAAGAGTAAACTTTCAGGTTATGTATTTAAATCATAGCAGACAATTATTAAAAAAAATCCTTATTATAGATTGACCATCGCCATTTTGTTGTTGTTGTTGCAATGTACTATTCTCAAAGTTTGATATGTTATCTGTATAAAGTGTTAAAATGATTGGGAGTGGATAGAAAAAATAGCCCTGGAATTGAAAGTGCTTTTAAAAATTGAGGTTTGAACTATAGAAAATAATAGTTCCTGACAGCTGAACTTTTCATAGAAAAGTATATATATGAAAAGTTCAGCTGTCAGGAACTATTATTTTTCAGTGACCTTGTCTGTAAAGTTATCCAATCATGACAGCAATGTATCTCCAGTACAGTGGGGTCTCGACTTACAAACATAATCCGTACTGGAAGGTGGTTCTTAGATCGAAAAGTTCGTAGGTCGAATCTGCATTTCCCATAGGAATGCATTGAAAACCATTTAATCTGTATCTGCTCTTTTCCGGCCATAGAAACTAATGGGAAGCTGCTATTCCGCCTTCTGCCACTAGAGGGGGATATTTTTCTTTTTTCCCTTAGGTTCAGGAAACAGAGGAAAGCAGGGAACAATTTGCAAAGCACTTTAGAAATCTTTTTTTTTTCACCGAAGCCAATTTTAAATCATGTTTTAAATCATGTTGTGCTGATTTTTTCAGCACAAAGACACACAGGCAGGCTTTTTAGGTGCTGAGCAAGCCTCCCCAAGCCTCTTCAGAGCCAGCCCATCCCCCCCCAAGCCTCTTCAGAGCCAGCCGATCAGCTGATAGGCGGGGAGAGGAGGGTGCAGGAGCGGGGGAAAAGCACAAAATGGCTGCCAGGCTCCCTTCTGGGTGTGGGCTTTTAGCTGTTTCCTGCTCTTTTTCCTGCTGTTTGGGGCTACCAAGGCCTGGTAAGTGACTTTCTTTTATTTATTTTAAAGTTTCTGGCCCTTTTTTCCCCTCCAGAAGCCTTTAAGGGGCGAACTTCCCTCGAGTTGCGAACTTTTTTCCTGTTCGCAACTCGAGGGAAGTTCATATGTCGAGTCCTTATTTCCCCTATAGGGCGGGTTCGTAAGTTGAATTGTTCGCAAGTAGGGTCGTTCGTAAGTCGAGATCCCACTGTACAAATTACCAACTAAGAGCACCATGAAAACACCACTTAAGCCATTACATGATGTCATGCACCCATTCCTCTGTTTGTTTCTCCACACAACCCAGGTTCACTTTCGGGTGTGACATTTATTTTTTTAATCCTTTTCTGATGCCACCAGAGGAGATATTCCTCACTATATCAAATAGGACTCTTCAATCAGTGTTATTCAATTAAACCAGGGGTCTCAAACATGCGGCCCGGGGGCCATTTGTGGCCCCCCAGATGATAGTTTGTGGCCCTCACTTTGCCTACCCCCCCAAGCGCCCACACATCCTCTGCTGTCAAGAGTAAAAAAAAGCCTTGCCTCGCTCGCCGGCTCTCTCCCAAGACAAAGCCTCTTGCACCCTCCATCCAGAACTGCAGCCTGCCAGCCAGCCCACCTGTCTGTCAGCTAAGGAAACTGCTGGACGGCTTCCTCAGGCTCTTGCTCCTCGCAGAAAATCTGATGCGGCCCAGCCTCACCCAGACTCTGTCTCTAGCGGCCCAAAGGTAAATTGAGTTTAAAACCCCTGAGGAATGCAGTCAGTTAGAGTCTGAAATGGGAGTCTAAAGAAGAAATTAGTCTGTGGTAATTAGGGAGGGTGGCAGAGTTAGGAGTTAAGAGTGAGGGAACGTAGAGAGAGCTAAGAGAGTTAAGAGTGAAACAAGTTATTCCTAATCTAATGAAAACATTAAAGTCTGTGAAGAACCTGTTTAAGGAAATTGTAATCAATGAATCTGTGTTGTTCAACTTTATACTCAGCTTGGACCTTAATCTTTCTAATTAAAGGAAGGGACGTGGTGGCGCTGCGGGCTAAACCGCAGAAGCCTGTGCTGCAGGGTCAGAAGACCAGCAGTCATAAGATCGAATCCATACGACGGAGTGAGTGCCCGTCGCTTTGTCCCAGCTCCCGCCAACCTAGCGGTTCGAAAGCATGCAAATGCGAGTAGATCAATAGGAACCACTTCGGTGGGAAGGTAACAACGTTCCGTGTCTAAGTCGCACTGGCCATGTGGCCACGGAAGATTGTCTTCGGACAAAATGCTGGCTCTATGGCTTGGAAACGGGGATGAGCACCACCCCCTAGAGTCGAACACGACTGGACAAAAATTGTCAAGGGGAACCTTTACCTTTACCTAACAGAGGGCAGCAGAAAGGAGAGAATGTGTTGTGGGCCTCAGGCTAGTGAAACAACCTGGGGACACGTGAGGGGCGCATCACAATTGGTGTGAGTGGTGGGAGATGTAGCGTGAGCTCTTTGGTGAACAAGCAGGGGCCACATGGTAAACGTCACAAGAACATACCAGAGTTTTTGGATGTCTGGCATATGTTTATATACCAAAACAGAAAATGCATAAACTGGACTTAGAACTGAACAAACTATTTGACTATGGTCCTGGAAGAGAAGGATATAAAGTGATGAACTTAAAAACAGGTGAATTCAGTGTAAGACATACGGCTCATTTGGTGCAACAAAAGGAAGCTGACAAAAAAGGAACAAGAGACTAGCATGTTGAACCTTTTCTAGATGAAGTTGTGCCAATCCCTCCACAACCTGAGCCAGATAGGAAACAGGAAGGTGATGACACACAAACTGAGAGCAGTACCCCAAGAGAATAGGCTACAGAGGCAGGAAAAGATGCTCTAAAACCAGCTATCAGACATTCATCAAAACCCAACAAAGGTGTACCAGCTCCTCACCTGTCCTACTTTGCAAGATTATCATAGATGAACAAGCCAGCTGCCTGAGAGGAGATTGAGTTAAAGCCACCAGATGGAGAAAAACTGCTAAGGAAGAAATAGATTCACTGCACAAGAACCAGATGTGGACACTTACTGAGCTAACATTAGGCACGAAAACCATCAGGTGGCAAATGGGTGTGCAAGCGGAAACAAGATGCAAACAGAGAAGTGGAATGATATAAGCCAAAATTAGCTGTAAAAGGGTTGCTATTTATTTATTTATTTATTTATTTATTTATTTATTAAATTTATCCCCCGCCCCTCTAGACCATGTCTACTCGGGGCGGCTTACAACATAAAATAAATCAATATAA